TACTTAAGGGGGACTATATAGCTTCAATCTACAGTTAGCTGTACTATTCATCACCGCAAGGTCTCGTAGGTTGCCACGTGAGGCAGTGTGTAGCCTCGAAACCTCCGCATAGTCTTCAAACACATGCACACTGCAGCTTTCAGAGAGCCGCCATCCCATGAGTGAATCCAAAGGTCTTCTGCTTGTGTATGCTGTAAAATTGGGATAATGGAAAGGAAAATGGAAACTACTATAGTATATTGGGGTAATATTGGGATAATGGAAAAGAAAATGGAAACTACTATAGTATATTGGGATAACATTGGGATGACATTCTCTGCGCAGCTGGCCGAAAGTGGTGGCGAGAATTAAAATAAATCAGCTACCGACTCCTACCAACTACCTATTCGAGCGTCTTAGCCGGTAGTACTGAGACTGCTTGCGAGAACTGCCTAAACTCGTCAGGTGCTACGCGGCCAGTCTTCTTATTCCACACCCAACTGACGGGTGGAGACGGCATTTTGAAGCCGAAGAAGGCTCTTCCTGACTTCTGAGCAGTCCCAATGTGGGCAGGGCTGACGGGGTCTCTGGTGTCTGCGTTGTCATTGATGTCGTTTATGCCCTTGCCGGCGCAGCCTACAATGTCCCCACTATCCACACGCTTCTCTGGATTAACATCGTCCGTCGTCTGGCGACCAGAGGCGTAATGAACATCGGGTGACAGATCTTCGAGTGAATGGGAGCTACCCGGTGGCGATGAAGGCATTGAAGGCACCTCATTTTGGAGGGTCCTGAGCTCCTCGTCAACTGGTTCGACTGGTTCCATTGGATCACTCTCTGCAGGGGCTGTCTGAGCTTTCTGTTGCCGATGTGGCGCGATCGGCCGGATCGACTCCTCATCTGATTCTTGGCCAGACTCGAAGTCACCTTTGCTATCGAGGATCACCGGCATGGGCTTGACTCCACGCTTGGCAGAGGTTCGGCGCTTCTGCTTGTTCACCAGCTGCGTCTGGATAATGTTCACCTGTCTAGCTGCAAATTTGGTAGTTTCCCAAATTTAGGGTACCCCAATATAGACCCCCAAATACTATAATCCTTAATATAGGGACCCCAAAATGGTACCCCTAATTTTAGGAAACTCCCATTTACACGTTCCACAAGTTGCTAAAGGAGGCAGGGGCTTCACCGACACCCGCCCTTAAGTATAGGGACTATAGGGACTATATTGGGGTTCTATGGGGATAATGGAAAAGAAAATGGAAACTACTATATTGGGGTTATATATACCCTAGTAGTCCCTATAATGATTTCAGGATCTACTGGGTTGGTTGCGGCTGCTTAAACAGAACTGCAAATACAACATCAACAGATGCTGGGTTCTCTGGTCTACCGCCTCATCATACGACCCTACCCTGGTATTTAGGAACCCACAAAACAGTAAGCCTTCTTCCTCGTCATACATGCCAGCTGGTAGCATCCCCATTAGCCCTGAGTGCTAGATCCATGAACTCTCTCTTCAAAAGCCCCTTCCCTGTGTTGACAAGACAGCCCTAAACCCTGAACCCTCAACCCTCAAGCACCCTTACCAGCCCAGACCCTCAACTCTTGAGCCCACCAACCTTGTCCATATAGCTTTTGAGCTGTTGATGGGCCTCCTTCTGAGAAGGCCTGGACTCCTAGGCCACTGATTTGTCGGAGCTTTAGGGTTTAGGGTTGTATCCTGAGGACGCTAGGATTACGTAGGAGATCTGTTTTGAGGAAGTCTCAGACGCAGGCCTCTAGCCTAGGATTTCAAGAGCCTAGGACCCACAACTGTCAACAAAAAACGTATGCTCTTCTGGGATCCAAGGTCTGCGTACATGCTGCACATCTGGAGGATTGAGGTCACATGAGCTATGGCCGTGAGCTGGTGCGGCAGGACATCTAAACTCAGCGCGAAGGCTGCAGACATCCCGCCGGACTGGACGTAAATTGTAAGGTCCATGGCTCTCGACCACTATGCAGATTTAAAGATTTTTACATTTCTTTGAGCCAAGGAGCAAGGTGACACGCAGAAGCACTTCTACCATAGATGTTTCAACAAAGAACTACCCAACAAACCTCCATCTGTGGCCTTGTTGCAAGGGATGCGATCCTGCTGAGACTCACTTGCTATTCAGCCAGGGAATCCCACACGTCTCTCTACGTTTTCTTCTGCCTCCGCGCCACCACTAGTAGCGCCTTGTTGCTTTTCTACTGCTGTTCTATTGTTTAAACTTGTCGATTGTGTTCTTGCCGCTACTCCACCTGATGAAAAGAGCCTACAACATTCTAGAGCGCGTGCCTCTATGTGACTTTAACGCCTACGAAAAAAGATGTCCGCCACAAGTCATCAGTCTAAGGACTCCTGAGTCCGAATTTCAAAGGCATTCCGAGATACCCTTCCAATATCTTCAAATGCACATGGAAGTTTGCCTAAAATTACTGTTCCCAAAATGGGGGAAAGTTATATAGGGCCCCGTACTATAATAGGAACCTAAATATAGGACCCCGTATTAACAGTAATTCAGGACAACCCCCACATGGCTGTGTTGGACCATTCTTTGTGACCCTCCCAGTGGCAGCCTGAGAGTTCAGGAAACGCCCGGAAGTCGCTCGCTTTTGGAGCCACCGAGGCCTGTGCGTTCTTGCAACGCGAAAGGACTTGCTTCCTTAAGTGAGTGCTGCGACAGGGTTCTCGCTAGAGGCAGGGTCCCTTCACTATAACCCAACACCCACATCAATGCCTATGTCGGCCTGCTTGAAGCAAACATAAATCATGGACAGTTTTTCTGCATTGCTAAAGGGCATGGGATTGTCAAGTACCAGAAATAAACCCTAACCCCGCTAAACCCTAAACCCTAAAACTCTAAATCTTGAAGCCCAACCCCCCGAGGCCAAAACAACAAACCCCAAAACCTTAAAGCCATATAGCCATTCATCGGGTTGTAATGTTCCTACCTCAGCCTGTCTGGGTCCCACGCATAGGGCGCCCTCGGAACCTGGAGCAGAGGAAAGCAACGGAATACGAGGTTTAGGGTTTAGGGTTCCAGGTCTAGGGTTCGGGGTTTAGGGTTGTGGGTTTTAGGGTTCCATGTCAGGCAAACTCCAGCAGGAAGTTATGCAGCCTGGAGTATCAGCGCAGCCTAGGGTTGGAGCTTAGTTGCACGGCGTCAAAAGTGTCATTGCAATCGGGGGGGGGAAATTAAAGGCGTCCGTCCCACTTGCCCCGCTTGCCCCACTTGCCCAAGTGGGGCGAGTGGGGCAAGTGGGGCAGGGGTTCTCCAGAGCAGGAGTTGGGGGGGGCCACCTCATGAGGGGAGAAATGGGGCGAGTGGGCCAAGTAAAGCAAGTGGGGCAATCAGGGTCGAGTGGGGCAGGTGGGTCAAGTGCTGGCTTGTTTGGAGCCTGCGCATTATGAGGGGAGCAGTGGCGCAAAGTGAAGCGGGTCAAGCGGGGCAAGTGGGTCAAGTGGGTCAAGTGGGGCAAGTGGGTGGGTCGAGTGGGGCGAGTGTGGCAACTGGGGCAAGTGGCCGCGGACCCTTCATCCCCGCCAACGCCATAACTCTCAAAAGCGTGTAGGAGTTGCCGGAGGCATGTTCGTCCCTATGCTCAGCGACAAGAAGCCCCATTACTTTCTTGAATTGATGCATTCTTTGGTCTGCTGACTTATAGCTGGCTACTGGACTTCAGATAAATCTAAACCATGATCCCTAAACCCTGCATCCCTTAACCCTAAACATCCAAATGGTCAAGTGGTGGAGAGCATAAATCCGAGGCAGTGTCAAGCTGAGGTCACTCATGGGCGCCGTGTACTAGTAGTAATTGCAAATAATACTGTTGATGGATGAAATTTTGCACCACCTAGGGGCCCTGAACTACTGTAATTCCTAGGACTTTAGGGACTCTAGGTGGTGCAAGATTTCCTCCATCAACAGTAGCAGGAATATTGGTACTAATAGTAATAGTGATAGTAATAGTAATTCCAATAGTAACCATGAGCCCATCATGTTGGAGAATGTGCGCGTGGCATCTGCTTTGAGACACTGCCTCTCGCAGCTCATGCATCGAACAGTCAGAACCACTTTTTTAAGCTCAACGGATATGCAGCTCGCATAATTCAAGCCGCCTAACTACGGTGTTCTGCTTCCGGCCCTCGTTCGGCGATGAAGATAAAGCCTGAAACAATAACAATATTATGGTCCTGGCTTCCTCGTATGATTTTAGTCCAGGGTACCTCAAATAGACCTCAAAAGGACCCCGTTTCATATGCAATACTGCACTTGCTGCTCTGCCTTTGGCTGCGGTTGTGCTAAGTTTGCTCATCTCATTCTCATTTCCTTTCTGTGTTTGGAGCACTATCGTTGCTGTTGCCATCATGTGCTTTGCAGTTTCCTAGCGATGGAATAATGTACTTCCCGCTCAACGCTCCCCGCGGCACTCAGAGAGCCGCAACATGTGCATGGCAGTAGACGCTGCGGCTGAAGTATCTGACCGACATCAGCAGCAAGAACCTGAGTTCCAAACCACATCAATTGCATGCAACGCGCATCCACATGCAGTTGCCTGGATGTGTCATGCCAGTGGCAGGAGCAGTGATGCTCATTAAGCGACACCTTTGCGGCTGAATCGTGGCTTGGATGGGTGGCATCTTCCGTATGCATGCTTCCGCTCTCTCAAGACGTCATAGTAACTACCATAATGACTTCTAGGCAGCATGACAGCTGATGATGATTGTCAGTGTCATTGCCCGCGATTTAACCGCTTGCACAACCTCACATGTCCCAGCACCCCGAACACAGTCACGCCCAAAGGTTCCACAAAGAAGATTTCGGCAGCCTCAAAAACCCTGAACCCTAGACCCCATAGAAAAACCTGTATATCCCTGATAGCCCCCATAACCCCCATGAAAGGTACAAAAATGCCGGCAGGTCTGATGAAGCCAGACGACACAATGGGGACAGTGAGTATGTACAGCCTTGGCTCCGCGTATCGGGGGGCATACAGGGGATAGAGGTACCCTTTGGGGTAATATTAGGGTCCTATTGGGGTTACACTGAGAGAATGGAAAATGAAATGGAAACTACTATTTAGGGTTTAGGGTTTAGCCCAGCATTACTCGAACAGCTTGGTTCACTGCGAGCAGAACCTTGGTTGTGCTGCCAGATGCCCTGAAGCCAGGTCCCACATTCAAAGCATCTCTGAGCAAAACACGTCTTTCCCGGCATAAGAATAACGATGTAGCAGCCATAATTAAGAAAGTACTAGTACTAACAGTAACACCAGCAAAACAAAGAGAGCACGCGTAACACTATGAACAGTAGCTGGCAGTGGTAATACAAGTTGGTGCTAACGATTCTAATCGTAATAATCCAAATCCAGCAGAGGCTCTTACAGCTTCGTTGCCGAAGCTCATCCTATCTCATTACAGTACTTCGTGTTTCGTCCAAGCAGCAGTTGCACGAAGAGCTCCAGCACCACCTCTACAGGCATTGGTTAGGAGGACCCCCCCACCCTGTAATAGTGGTATAAAAGGAATATCAGAGAACCCTAATATATTCCTTATTATCCCTTATAGTCACTATTACAGGGTGGGGGGTCCACCTAAGGCATTGGCATGTGTCTTCTCTTGCCTGTTTCAACATCTTGCACGAACAAGGTGTCTGTTGACTACAGGCAAACTTGAGCTCGTACTCGGTACAGGCGTATATATGGGGGTTTCCTAAAATTAGGGGTACCTTATACTAGTATTGCCCCAATAATGGAGAATCAAATGGAAAAGACAATGGAAAATGAAATGGAAACTGTGATTATATAGGGGATTATATAGGGTTTAGGGTTTCCTAAAATTAGGGGCACCCTTTTGGGGGTCCCTATAATAAGGACTATAGTATTTGGGGGTCTACATTGGGGTCCCCTTATTTCGGGAAACTACCATATACACATGCAAATGCATACATTGTAAACTTAACTGTGGTGTAAGATACATGAGATATTTTGCAAATCGAGCGCCTCCGTTTCTGAGGCTTGACACTAAACAGGTCCAATAACCCTGAACCCTAAATCCTAGACCCTAACTCCTAAACCCTCCTAAATCCTAAACCCAGATTCTAAGCCATGAACCTGAAAGAAGGTGAAACCGGGCGTGGGCCTCAGCGTTGGTGTTCGAGAGAGGGCCGAAGCTCTGGTACATTAACCTGCTTTGCGTTTAATGAACTTGAATTAAGCTGCCGTAATATGGGTGTTTGTAATTAATAGGTGTTCTTTACTATAGTCGCTTAAAAAAGGTCCTTAACAGCAACCCAGCAACAAGCCAATGGTTACGACGTATCCTCAGTTGCTCAGGGTTTGGTAGGTTTGGGCGTTAGGCCCTAAACCCTAAACACGTTGGGTCAATCCCCCACCCAGTAATGAGTGTCACAAACAACTTTTGTAGGTATTTGAAGGCCCTACTAACTCCATATTCAAGGCCATTACCGTAGGGGGACTGACCTGAGACACGCATTATTGAGGCTCGCCAAATTTCCCTAACATTCTTAACCTTTCAAGACAAGCTAAGGAGTGAGTAGTTCCCAAGAATAGGGTCCCGTTTTGGAACCTCTAAATATTAGGTGCCATAAGATAATCTATAGCCTCAAGGGGCCCATGATTTTGAGAACAACGCGTGTGGGTTTTCAGCCCCCTATTTTGTTGAACCGTAATTTATCACAGCCCTCATTTGCGTACCTCAAACCACAGCGAAATCTTGAGAAGCTGCGGAGCTCAATTGCAGGCAGGATGGAATTGGGGCAGGAAGCAAAACAAGGCCTTCCTAGACATCCCAAATACCCATGTTAATCCTTTAGCCCCATATAATAATCATATAGACGGTATAGAGGCTATTATTATGGGTATTTAGGAAGTCTATAGGTTCAGAAGGTATCCCACTTTGTTTCAGCAGAAGCAATGACTCGCGGAGTTTCAAGTGCATGAGGCGGCACTCGCGTTAGCGGTTAAATTACAGCAGGGGCCTAAATAATTACCAATATCATTTTGAAGTCCATTTGAGGTACCATATACAACAATAATACAAGGAATATGAAACCATTATGTTGGTAATCATTCAGGCCCCTGTATTGCAATGTCTGCCTGAAATGATTGCCTGTTGAAGGGAGTCAGCGTGGGAAAATGGCAGGCGCCAGCATACTTCCTCGTCTTGAATCACTCGAATCCAAGATGCAACTCTCAAGCCATCTTGAATCATGAGCTGCTTGCAAGCATCCCGCACCATCCGATGCGAAGATGAGGAAAGAGCAAGTGCCTGCGCTGAAGCAGTGGATGGCAGGGGGCCTTGGATCTAGGGTTTGAGCTTAGGGGGTTAAATTGGGCTCAAGGATTAGGGACAATGGTACAGAGTTGAGGCAACCTGGTGAACATGATCTTTCATTCATGGAGTACCGTCCGAACGGCATAGTAAGCATACGTTTCACCAAGGACTTAGGATTCGGGACTGACTCAGGTGAAGGCATCTCGAGCAACCGACCTTCTGCCCGGGAAACTGCGAAGATGCGTTCCTGGGTTGCTGTTAAGCAACTCGAACTGAATTACTATAGTAAAGAAACACTGTTATTTACCATTTATCCCGATTATGCTGACTTGACCTAAACCCTATATACCCACATTATGGTAACTCAAATCCTATAAGCCCAATATACCCATATCATGGTACCATAACTTAAGCTCCGTAACAGCAGCCAAAGTTCATTCAGGGGCGCGTTGAGCATGGAGAATGAGGTGTAGAAGGCGGCAGAGTACAACCTTGGCTGGTGGTAGAAGTCAAAACAGTTAATATAGTTTTAATGGAAAAGAAAATTAAAATGGAAACTACTATATATCATTCAGGGTTTGGGGTTTAGGGCTGGGGGTTTAGGGTCATGGGGACTTAGTAAGTAGGTTCATAACCCCTATAAACCACAAAGTAACCCTAATAATCCCCATTATTGACCTGCTTTCTAAGTCGTCTATGACCCTCCAAGTAGAATCATAATCATAATAGTACTATCAGTACTCATAGCAAAAGTCATAATAGCGAAGTAATAATGGGTCTACAAGGCTCGGCTGGAGCTTCCCTTCGCAGACAGACCCACACCCAGCAAGTAACAAACCGGCATGATCCCGGCTCCCTTCCAACAACTTGCGACAAGTTGTACCCAGACCCCCTACTGGACCCCAAAATGGACCTCCCCCAAAAAATAGGACCCTAGTACAACATTGAGGAAACTACAGGAATATTTTTGAGGTTCCATGTTTTGGATCCTTGAGGCTCTAAACCCTTAACCCTAAACCATAGGGGGTCTGGGTATGTGTGGCTCGCCATGCTGACAAGCTGCAGTAACCAGCTGATCCCATCCTGGATGAGTTCGGCTCGCTACTGGCAAAGAAATGGCCCCTCTAAACCATAATTTTGGGAACCCCTAGACCTTATATACTTATATGCCCCTATGTATCCCCGTTTAAAAGGTACTCCTACTTTTGGAAATCCCCTAATCCCTATAAACCCAGTTTCCATTTCATTGTCCATTTGATTCTCCATGATTGGGGGTTACATATCCCCACAGCCTGTCAAGGATGAGATGGATCCTCATGACTGGAAGGCGCTTTAACATGGGGGGTTGGGGTTTGTCGCGGTGTGTGGCTGTAAGGCAGAACAGAACATAAACGACTCTGCAAGCCACGCGGTGTCTGGTGGGCATTGTTGTCTTTTGCGTCATTCCTCGTTTGTCACAAGTAACTTAAGTGGACCCCACCCTGTAATAGTGGCATAATAAGAATATAAGAGGATCCTGTGTAGTTGCCGTTGTCCCTTCTACTTATAGTCACTATTACTGGGTGGGGATACTGGGTGGGGGGTCCACCAAACCAGAAACTCTCGAATTGTGCAGCCTGGGCTGGGTACAAGCCACTGGAAACGTCCAACTTGGCAGACCTTGCGTAGCACAAGGCTCTGTGCAGCTGGCGTGGGCTCAATGTATGGCAGCTTCCCTAATGAGGGGGACCCCAATACACCCCAAAATACTACAATCCTTATTACCGGGACCCCCAAAAAGATGTCCCCTAATTTTGGGAGACCCCAATCGCTAGAAACCAAGTGTCCATTTCATCTTCCATGTTCTTGTCCATTTGATTCTCCCTTATTGGGGTAAAATATCCCAAAACCCCAAACCCTTAACCCTATTGCGGTAATGCATCCCAAACATACATATAAATGACTAAAAATATGTATGTGTATATATATATATATCTATACACCTGTATAAAGACAAGCGTCAAGCCATCCCTCTCGCAGTAGCCATGTCAGCACGGCAATTACCACCAGTCCTGAAGCGAAGCTCTGGACAGAAAATCCTCAAGCCAATCTGTATACATATGAGCTATAGTCTAAACTCCTGGTATCCCCCTTCATAACCCCCATAGTCCCCAATAATCCCCCCTTTGAGGATTTTAGACTATAACTCATCTAGTTTAGCGTTTCGGGTCAAATTCTCAAGCCAATCTATACACGCATAATTACTGGGGGTTGGTAGGGGATGAGGGGATACATTACACAGGAATACAACTACCGACCACCAGAAAGTTTAGTACCTGCCACCTAAACCCTGAACCCTAAACAGCCATCAAAGTCGGATCTTCTCTGACGCAGATTTTAGCAACCCGGTAGCCACCCAACCGATGGTCCTGAAGCGCAGATCACCAACATCAAGCGCAAGGCCTTCTGGCTGTCTTTCACCCAGGACATCAAGACCTTAGCCAAAAGATAGGTTAGGGTTTAGGGTAGGAAAGTGGCAGGATTGCATGGGATGCAGACAGTGTTAAGCCATGGCAATGGACAAGTTTCACGCGCTCATAATCCGCTTCTTTCCGCGAGATGAGTAGACATAACCTCTACACAACGCCTGCTTTAATTTCATGTTCCAATGCTTTTCTCCGTTTGATCTTCATCAACGGGGCTGATACATCCCTATAGAATCCCTATATCATCCCTATAAACAAGGCTTCGACCAGACTGATGAAGGATGTCACAGCTCCGGGGATGTCGGCCATTGCATAAACCTGGCACACATGTGACAAGAACCCTCAGGGTTTAAGGTTTGGGGTTTAGGCTTAGGGTTTAGGGTTTAGGGTAGAGACTTCACCAATTTCAAGTTTAAGGCTGTCCGACAAGGGCTGCAATCCGAAATCTCCCATCTAACAGTTGATAAAATTTATCAATGTACCATAGCTTTAAATAAACACATCAATCTTATGCACAAGGAATACAAGGCATAGATGAAAGAGATATTTCATAACACTGAGAATATTTCGATCTCGCCCACGAGAAATGTCACACATATCCACTTACACCTATTCTCTACAACCGAAGCAGATGTATTCCCCAAACTCAATAGAGCGATCGCCACAAGTTCCTCCCCCTGCATCTCAACACATTTGGCATTGCCTTGGAGGAAGGAGGCTCTGCCAACGCAGCAGTGTAGACCTGTCGGGTTTGATTGGGGCCAGGACACATGGATGCTGGGGTGCGCTTGCACGGGTTGAACGGACTGCTCGCAGCTTTGGGCTCTTTCTCATTGGCTGTGATAGGCAAAGTGTGAGGCATTGTTCCGTGAAGAGCATGACGTGCCGATATCTGCCTGCTGCGCGTAGAAATCTCGGAAGGATCGCAATCCGACCTCCAGAAAATTATGCTGCAAGTCTCTGAGGGTAGTTTCACGTCAAGCTGGAGAGTCATTCAAGCATGGACCTAATACTTTCTCAAAATAGGGGAATCCCAATATAGGCCCTCATGTATTATCGTCTTTATGAATTTTTGGGAAACCCTAAACCCTCATCCCTAACCCTATATATCCTTATATAAAACCCCTATAATCCCCTATAACCCCTTGAAAAAGTATTCCCTCAAGTTCATTGCCACTGCAGCTTTGCAAGCCAGGATGCCAGTCCCGCCCAGGCCGAGATGGATGCAACCACTCCGAAGGCGTGATTGCGGACGAAGTCCCACTGCTGCCTTGCAGAAACAAGGAATCGTTCCCCAAATTTAGGGGGGGGATACCCTCTTGGGGGCCCCCATGATAAGGGGTTACAACATATTAGGGCCTATATTGGGCCCCCCTATTTTGGGAAACTTCTAACCTCGGGGTGATTTCTAATTCCTTTGCCCTTCTGCTTGCTGCCACCTGAAACCATTTTCAACTTTATGAGCCCTAAGATGTTCCTGCCTTGAGGTCATGGCTGTGCGCGCCGAGCGTGCAGCTACATCGGCTCGGCTTGGTTTGGGCGCTCTGTCCTGAGGTTCTGATAGGCTGCTCATCGTCTCTTTCAACTCCTACTGGGCATGGGAGCTGACTGTGCTTCGAATGCTCTCGCCTTGATCATGCATGTGGGTAGCGCATATGCTGCTTAATGCGTTTCGTCGCGCAACTGCATCTCCCTGCCAAGACACAGTGAGCACAATGCAGATGCAGGCAAGGAAGCAACTGCCTCGAATTGCCAGCCAACTGCAGCTCTCTCCATGGTACCAATCTGATGCTGCTCTTGAGCTGCGTGATGCTGGATTGAATCCAGCCCTGCACAAAGCCAAGCACTCCGTATGAGTGTCGCTATGGAAAGAATCGTTTGTGCATGCAAGAGGCATCCTCCCAACACGAGGGGCATCAGCCTGCAAAGTTTTTCATGACATCTACCATGCAGGCTACACTCAGGATGGTACGGTCTCAAAGAAGGTTCTTCATGTTGCACTCTCTTTAAAACTCTAGGCCCCCGACTCCCGCTTAACAATGAGGCCCACAAAAAACATGGGTGTCTTCAATTAGGGCTCCCTATAACCTCCCGATTTAAAAACGGACGGTCTGGCCCCAAAACAAAAGACATTAAACAGGGTCTTCGTTAGGTGGACCCCCGATCCTCGAATAGTGACTATAAGAGAGAATGGCATGTATATTGGGATCTTCCCGTACTCCTATTATATAACAATTACAGGGAGGGGGTCCACAAAAGGTCTTCCAAGCAATGGCCTGAAACTGAATCAGCGGCTGCCAAAACACATTAAACAGAGTCTCTTCACCAAAAGCAGTGCAACATTACGCAGGACCCATTTCTCATGCCAGTGCAACTTACTACAGCACACACGCAAGGCTGTCATGGCAAGCTCCTCCTGCATGAGGGCCACAAAAACGTTGCAGAAACCACTTCTTTGGCTGTGCCACGGCCAGCAGCTGGGGGGCTATTCGCATGAACATTATCGTACCACTACCGACTGCAAAAACGATGTTCCTATGAATACTACCACTACTCGAATTATTCTTTTCCTTATCACGTCTAGCGCTGGTACTGCCATCCCTTTAGTCGTGCTTACACTTAGGGCCAGACTGGCAATTACATCTTGCGGGGTCGGAAGCCATCCCCCTAAACGGAAAAACTGGAAACCCTAAACCTGAAACCCCCAAACCCCAAACCCTGAACCAATAAACCCAAAACCCAAAACCGTAAGCTCAAAACCCTCCTCTTCCCCTTCTGCCTTGCAGGTAAACCCCAGCCGAGGAGTGCCTCCAAATCAGGTCATGAGGTCATGCTGACCCTTCTCTACTTAAAAATGGACAATTTCATATTCTTAATCCTACTATTGGTATTATACACTAGTATCATCTGAATTGTTATTCGTATTGTTACATCAGGGTTAGAGCTCATGTCATGCTTCAGTGCAGCTCATACGGGGACATGTGAGGTGATCGTGGGATATACAAGGATACTACAAGGGGCTACTATATAGGAAAGGCAGCAGTCGCACCGTAGCAGCTGCTCGGCTTAGCGTGCCAGCCACGGTGAGGCTGGCGGCGATGGCCGCAAGCCTAACCAGCACTTGGGGGGGGGGACTTTCAAAAACTAGCTTCTATAAGTATCTAATACTCAACTAGGGGGTCTAGAATATGCAAATTGACAATACTTACAAGGCATTACATGGGGGGACTGGGATATAAATCCATAATACTTACATGGGGCTGGGGCTAGGATACTTTCAGCTGAAAAAATTGCCGAAGTCTACCCAGGAGCATAATCTCGGTGCTCTGTCCTTCGGCTTTGCGGGTCAGAGAGGTTGGATGTTCATCTTGCGTCTGTCGGGATTTTGGGATTCCGCTCTGTATAAGTATTGGGATTTGGGTTACCGCTTTTTTAGGTGTAAACCCTAATTAGTGATAATATGGGGGTTCTGCATTATGGGATGGGGGAAGGTTGTGTAGCGGAGCCGACTACACCTGAAGCTCCGCAGGTGGCTCTGTTTCTGGTCATGCTCACCACATTCCAAAACTTACTGGTTCTTAGTAGGAATAAGGGCATACATCATATAGGGACTATATAGGAATTGTATTCCCTTATTCCCTACTAACAACCAGTAAGAAACAGCAATCAATTTGTCATCAGCATTGTTCGACTGAGGCACTTCCCTCCAAATAGGTGACCATGCCACCATACAGGAAGCTGGAGATGAATGAGGAGGAAAACACGCCCAGCACTTGCCTCACAACACTTACGGGTTCTTAGCAGGGAATATGGAAATATAATTGCATTCTCATATTCCCTACTAAGAACCCGTAAGATGATTGGGAGGAAAACATGCCGAGCACTTGCCTCACAACAGGATAGCCGGCCCCAAGCCAAACCTGAACAGGAGCAGCCGCGTCCAAAATATCAGGCTGTAAGATCTTGAAGATACTTACGACACTTTTTCCCTTATAGGGCTCCTTGACGAATTTGTTGCATCCATCCCAAAAGGCCCATGCTTATCTCGTGGAAATGTGATCATTTCAAGCGGGCAAGGTGCAAGAACTCCAAGCCCTCCAGCAGCAGAATTGGCAGTGCCACGAGCAGCATCGATGAAATCAAGATCCCCAACCTTTGTTCTGAGAAGATGTACAACATAGGGGACAAGGGGGTGGAGCTGTGGCCAAGCAATACACCAACAGCAGCAGCAACAACAACGACCACGACAACAACAGCAGAGGTGGGACAAGTTGTGGCTGCCAAAGTCAACCGACTTGCCCAAAAGATTTTTACTGTGCATCCATGCTATGCCGAACCATAGGCATCAGATTCAAAATGATGCAAAGACTACAGAGTGACTGGTGGTCAGTTTTGGAACGACAGGATCGGCAAAAGACTGGAATTGAAATAATACCTCAAAACAGACATACCTAAGGCATCTCTGTCAGACGATGCCACTTGCAGAATTAAACTACGCAGCAACACATTCCTCCATCAAGCATGACTGGGTCATAGCTACAGACATGAATTACCCCACCCACTCCCAACAGCTGCCTTTCTAGCTGGAAGGGAGGAGTAAAATATTCTCTGAAGTCCTACTTCCTTTCTGCTATCCCTGTCAAATTTCAACCTCAAAATCCCTCAAAGTCCTTAAAAAGAGAAGCCCCTAGTGTAGCACTAAAAGTCCCTTCAGACAGCCGTCCGTGATCATGACAAGGCGCAGCAGTGCCAAGCGGTGTCGGAAGAAAAACCCACTCCTCGGATGGGGGAGGGGTGACTTCTGTCTGGTTAGCTGGGAATGAAGGAATGGGAAAAGAAAATTGACACTACCTTATAGTATATAAGGATATAATATAGGGTTATATAGGGTTGAAAATGGAAAAGAAAATGCAAACTGCTATTTGGGGTTTAGGGTTTGGGATTTGTTTTGGGCTAGCTGGGAATGAAGGAATGGAAAATGAAATGGAAACGACTATAATGGGTTGCAATAGGGACTACAATAAGGATCCATTCTTTCATGCCTGTGAACGGAGGAAATCGTGAAGCGCTTGGAACGGCAAAGTGCATGTCATTCCTAGAGTAAAAAAGCACGTAAGGTGGTGCTAGACTTCCTCCATCAGCAAATTCTGGATCAGAGCCTGTCAGGCGCCCTTGGGCCCGAGAAATTATGGGGAGTCTATAGGGGTACCCTTTAGGGGTCCCTGTAATAAGGATACTATTTGGGGTCTATATTGGGTCCCCCTATTTTGGGAAAGTACCATTGGGAAATACTCAATCCAGCTCGGTAGCTCCCGAGAATCAATTAGGAATGCTTCTGGTTTACAAGGTTAGGGTTTAGGGCATGCCAAATAGAAGCGCGCTGTGTGGGCGCGCGTTTGTCTGCAGACCTGCTCACCGAGATAAATCCATGAGAGGGCTCATCGTCCCAGATCGTCCCCGGGCGCAAACTCGAAAGTCTTATTGATATGTGTTCAGCCAGATGTGCGCAATCAGTGCGCCCTTGCTACGTGAGCCAAAACATCCCAACGCGTCAACGGTAAATTTTGTTTGAACGCATTTAGCGACATGTTCTATGTTTTGTTTTAGCGAAATACCCAGCCAGATCTGGTGGCAGCCCACAAGCGCAAACCCGAAAATATGTTTGATGCGTTTCGGTGTCGGTGGATAGGCAACTTAGAAGAGCAGACAATACCCGTAAGAGTAATAAATGGGTGGATTTGGGCTCCAGGTTATGTGAGCTGCCACCAGATCTGGCTAACAAAAAATGTAGGGTTTGCGTGAAGGGACCTTCCCTTCGGCCCCCTGATAGTTCTAGCCCGCCCTGGGTCACGTCGTGCTGCCCGCAAGAAGTTCTACCACACCTTGGGGCGGGACTGGGAGGTCGCTAAATGCGTCCAAACAAAATTCAGGGTTGACGTGAGGGGTTGTTCTGGCTCACGTGGTAAAAGCGCCCTGACTACATAGATCTGGCTGAACGCGCAATTATCAAAAGGAGCGGCGCGAGGGACTGGAGGCCCTGGCTCTTCCGGTCCGCAGATCTGCTTGCCCCCGCCCAAGATGGTTAAAACCAGGAAAGCTTTGCGTCGGATTGACCTAGGCTTCAGGGTATAGTCAGGGACAATTTGCTGACTCGGCCGTAATTTGCCTGGAGGGGAGCCAGCCTGGAGGCCCACTCAGTCGCCCGACCAGCGCTTACCGCAAAAAGACAAGTGAGAGGGGTGGCGGGCGGGTTTAGGACCAGTTAGGGGTTTCACGCTTACTTGCCGAGAGTGAAGGATGTAAGGCCTTCACAAATTTCAACAGGCAAGTCCTTGTTGAGCTTGAAGATTAACTGGATTGTTGTAAAGGACCCTAAATTATGCTACGCTAATATGGATACAGAGTAGATCACAGTGTTTCCTCGCTATAGCAAATTAAGTTCCTTAACAGCAACCCAGCATAAGAATCCCAAAATGTTGTGGGAACCCTGTAACTTGCATGGCCAGCACTGAGGGGTGGCTAAGAAGGCTGTAGAATTTGGGTACTGCCCCACCCAGTACTCAAATTCTGCTCCCTTCATGGTGGCCCTCAGTGCTGGTCATCCAAGTTACAGGGCTCCCAAGGATAATAGTAATGATAGTGATCATAGGAATAATAGTAGAAAATAGTAATACTAGTGACAACAATAGCAATACTAAAACTTGTTATCCAGCTGTTACTGGGTGGGGGCTGTACCCAATGTAGAATGAGCTCTTGTGCTACTTGTGGTATCTGCTAGTGGGCAAGGACAGCGGCCAAATGCCAAATGTTTGTAGCTATAGTAACGCTCTTTGGGAAATGGTCCTTGTGCTTGTCGGAGTATGGGCTAAGGACTCATGAGATTTGAGGATATTATGAAGCGACAAAGCCCCACTCATCATGATGCTAAGTAGAAGTTGAAACAAAGCCATTTCCAAGGGTCGATGCACCTGACTGAATACTTTAGTACTACGCGAATTACTTTACTCCCGTGCTCTGCGGTCACATTCGCTCCATCCCCTACCGCACCGAAGCATACGGGCTCCTGCTAGCATATTCGGAATTAATAGTGGGCAAGACATCTAGCCAGCTCGAGCAACTGATTGAGGCCCTGTACCTGTCAATCTAAGACGCGCACGGCATGTGAACGGAAATCCCAGCAACACCCCAGGTAAAACAGTAAGCCAAGCTTGATTTAGATCCTGAGCTGGATCCTAATTGAAAGATTGCTGCGCTCCTTTACTAACATCGACCCATAGAGCATCTTACAACTACTTGAGGGGAAGTCTTTCTTGCCTTGCACCCAATGATTCTAGCATTAACATGCAGCAGCTCTAAACGTAAACACACAAAACACAACAACCATACAAGTCATCATGGCAAGTTATCGAGGTATTTCTCATGCCAAGCTTCGTGGCCAACCGCATTGCCGGGATCTTGGCAGCACCAAACCCCAAAATAAACGACATCGAGAAACCTCGGCAGCAACTCTTAAAATCTATAGGGGTTATCTAGGGGTTATATAGGGACTATATAGGGATTATGGAAAAGAACATGGGAACTAGAATTTCGGGTTTGGGGTACGTCTAGGGTTTAGGGGCACGGTGTTGTTGAGGAATAAGAGTCTTTCATGACCGCAAGCACATTTTGCAGCAACTCCTAGGGTTTGTCAGTCAGTCTGTGTACATAGGGTCATGCAGAAGAAAAGCTGGGCTCGAAAAAAAGAGGAATCTAGGGTTTAGGGGGTTTAGGGTTTAGGGTTTCGGACCGCTAACGCCGCTAACCACTCTAATCCTTCTTATGGCAACTCGCAACATGGTACCCCTAATACTAGGGAAGCCTTTAATTCCCCAAAAGCCCACAGCATCACAGTGTACCCTTTTTACAGCCCTAATGAAGCAAATACATAACCCCTACATTACCCCTATCTTAATCCCTATATAACCCTGAAATGTAACCCCTATACAACCCCCATATAACCGAATATAACCCTTAAATGTAGCCCTTAGCGTCAAGCCTCCTGCTGCTGCTCCTGGGACATCCAACTTGTGCCAATATTTGGGGTTCCCGAAATTAGGGGTACCTTTTTGGGGTCCCTATACTAAGGACTACAGTATTGTTGGGTCTACATTCGGGTCACCCTATATATGGAAATTACCATGTCAGGTTCACGACTTGTGGGCAACGGAAGTACATGTTGGTCACACCTGCAGATATGTCGATAAAAGTTCCAGCAGTAAACCAATCTGATGCTCGCACAGGTACCCCTCTCAACTGCTGCCACCGCGATGGGCAACCACAGGTTGACTTGGAGGAAATTTGACGTTTGGCATACATCAAGCACTGGACAGAAATCCAAATGGATGAAGTCTGACTTCGCCAAGCAGCATTCTTGAAGGGACAATGTCTTCCCGAAGACTGTCATGGTCGGGGTGTCAAGGATATGCTTCGGCAGCCTTGGCTTAACATGGCGAAAGACCAAGTTGACTCTGTGACATGTGGGTAATTTCCCAAATGAGGGTCCCATTTTGGTACCCTCAAATATCAGGTGCCGCAATATAGGTCGTAACCTGAAAAGGTATATACATAATTTTGGCAAACCCCCATGTAGGTAATGGTCACATACCAAGCAGAAGCCAGGCTGTCAACAGTTGACAGCACTGCAGGACTCATCTGATCAAGGGCCACAGGGGTTGCAGCTCTGGGAGACCTTCCGTGAACCTCTTCTATACGATCATCCAAGAGGCATGAATATCGGATATCTCCAGAAGTAAGAGAACGCATAGCACAAGGAAGCCTCACCACAGGCAATTCGTGCACAAGCTTTGGGGTCTTGGCTGGGTGGGGCTGGCTACATCATGCGATTTGCTGAGGCACATGTCTGTGCTCCTTCCGCGTTCCACGACAGCACATAGAACCGCAAAATGACACACGTTGTAGCTTGCCAGCAGTCCACAGCAGTATCTCTACATCAGTGCCAGTGGCAAATGGAAGATTTTGCTCTCTATTGTGCTGTCCCAATTTGAAGGCAAGTTGCAGTGGTTGCTATCCAGGCGGTGGTTCCTGCCAGGACAAATCCCGGTTGCAGTGCCATAGGCCATCGAATTCCCAACAGCCCTTTCCGTACGTAGAGCGTGAACAGCATGCTGCAACAGTGCTTCAGAGCGCCTGGTGCATAGCTGGTGGGAACCAGCACGGATGCGCCTGAGGAGATGCCTTCGAATGATGGCGTAGCCAGTCAGTGGGGTTGGGGAATCTCTTTTCATAACCAGACTGGTGCATTGGCTCATGTAGCCTGAGATCTACAGCAACAGAAGCCACCCTTCAGATTCTGGATCCGGTCCGGATTAGCGTCAGGTGCTCTGGACTCAGAGCCCGAAGCATTCTTAGCGCTGATAAGCCAGTCGAACAGAGAGAAGGACGAGATTGCAACAGAACAGGTCCAAGAATTACAGTCACATCTAAGTCGGTAGAATATGGGGTATATGGGGATCCTATTATAATATACCCGAAGCCATAGTCTATCTACTCCAGGGGGACTATGATGCCTTTCTTCCACACGGACTCCACACGAGATGAGCAACCTCGCTCTGAGAGTCTTTCAGAGCCATAGCCTAGCGGAGCTGAGTGCCTAGCCTAGACATGTATGCAAGTTGGGCTACAGTACCCTTAAGTAGATAAAATATGGCTTTGGGGATATTGTAATAAGATCCCCATACCCCATATTCTATCGATTTAAGGGGGACTATAGGTAAACAAATCGCAAGAAAAATCTTTTCGTGGTGCCATAGACGACATATTTTGCTATGATGGTGGTCCATCCATATACGCTTTCCTACAATGAACGCTCAAACGTCAAAGCCGGAATCCTCTCATATCTACACAGATATCATGTGCCGTTGCGAGAAAAGTCCCTAAACCCAGAACCCTAAATCCTAAACCCTTGATCGCTGCCGCGGAACGTGGCTTTGTGGTGCCTGGGCCTCGGCTGAGGCCAACTGCTTTTGGAGTTCTACGCTACTTGGGGTTTCCCAAAATTTGGGGTACTTTTGTGGGATCCCCATGATAACGACTAACATATTTTGGGATCTACTTTAGGGTCCCCCTATGTTGGGAGACTGCCATTTGCCCTCCTAGAAACTGACGCGGAATCCATACAGACTGCGGTCCTTCCAGAAGGATGTGGGGTTCCATGTGTGTCCGGGGCAGGCTCATATGAGTTATAGTCTCAATTCCGAGTATCCCCCTAATACGCCCTACAATACTCCCCTACGTAACCCCCTTTAAGGAGTTTAGATGAAGGATCCTATAGAGGATCTCAACTGGGGTCATAATCGTAGTGGGCTTGACACACCGTCACACCGGCGCACACCTTCCCCTTTGATTTGGGCGCTTGTTTGACAGGCCACTCTGTTCTACCATGCACTATCTATGTCAGGGCTAACTAAGGGTCTGACCTCTTTGTCGCATCTGCCGGCTGGGTCCAGAATCTTAGGCGTGGAGGTTGCTGGCTATCATACTGATTTCTAGTGGCGCTGCGGTCGTGGAGCTTTTGTAATGATCAGGTAGTCTCAGAAGACATCTCTGGGCTGCGCATCTAAAACTTAGCCCATCTCGCTATGGCGACAATAATGGAAAGAACCCTCCCACCAGACTTTAAGGACCCTGCTTTCACGAAGGACACACTCGAAGGTGCATTCAGCAGCTCATTGGAGGGTAGTTTGGGCCTGCTGACTATGCGCTATTTCGAGTAGGACAAAGAATTTGGTCCGCCCTGTCTGCTGTAGCAACAACTGAACTTGATGACCTCAGGACCTTAGGGACAATCCGTGCGATTTTTGCCAACTGTAATGCCAACAGCTGGGATGCGTTTCGATGGTCATTGCGACCATCAATGACATGTCATTTCCCGGGTTGCAGATGAGGATTGTTGGAAGCCGCCTGCTGTTTCTGTTGCTGCTTTTCATTCACACGATCTAGCAAGGTCAGCACATGGATGCGCAGGGAAAAACCGGCCCTCTGAGTAGCTTCTCAAATCATCCTTCCCTCGCCATGTCGCCAGACACCAGAGGTGTTGGCTCAGCCTCTGTCTCAGCAGGGCTCATCTCAATCCTTGGATGATCTCGTGCCGCGCCCTTCTTCTTCAGCACACAAGACATGACGTGACAGTACCTTGGTGAACATCGTTGATCCTGCTACAAGTATCGAGTGACCATGGGCAGCAACCCACTACCTGAGTCCCGTTCACACAGCATTTTGGGCCCAAGCACTTGTCAAAACAAGCCAGACGCGATTTCTGCTTTATTTCAGGACGCTTTTGCTAGGCGCCGGCTTCCCGAGATACTACGAGCTCTTGAACAAGAACTTCACACGGAAGCTTATAAGCTAGCGAATGCTTGTGCAAGATATGGACTCAACCTGCCCGCTTTACATATTATTGTAAGGAGTGTGAGTACAATTCTTGCGCGTGTATAGAGAGAGCACAGCTGCACAGAGCACTGAAGAGCTTGTCCTGTGCCAGGTGTCCCTTGCCCGAGCGAGCTCAAAGAGGGAGTAGAATGCATCTGCTGACAATGGCCAGGGCTTGGCTAGCAAGCATCGCGCAGGCAGGTGCTGCAAGTCCAAGAATTAATTGCGTTTGACTTGTGCAACCTGTTGCAATTGCTACAGGACTCAGGTATAGGCGTCAACAGATCTGGGTTTGACTGTGTGCAAGCTGCGCCCAATCAGCGCTGGCAGGCTTGAGCAAAACCAAGGACTGAAAAGATTCAGGAGCAAAGACCGCCGTGTAAAATGTAATGTTCATCAAGTTTGCAAGGCCTCAGGCACCATTTCTACTCCTGCGATGCATCTGCTGAATCTGCAATGAATGACGAGGCCGCCGCCACCGCCGCCGCCGCACCACCGCCACCACCACCACCGAAACCGAAAGCCATGGCTACCGCCCTGTCACCTGACGCCCCTGCGCCACCACCGTCGCCCACCACCACCGCTACGGCGCCACCGCCGCGCCGCGCCCGCGACCCACAGCCCGCCGCCACCACCCTCACCACCAACCAGCAACAGCACCAACACCAGCACCAGTCTTACCATGATTCCTCTTGTGCTGATAGCTAACCTCCTCTCAAAGCCTTGCAATACCTTGCAGGCAAACCCAAAACTCTACGCGTAACCCTGGCCAAAACCCCATTGGCCCTCGTTATCCATTCACCCCAATCCCCAAAACCCCAAAAAGCCCTTTTACCCCTAAACCCTCAACCTTTCAACCCTAAACCCTCAACCTTTACACCCTTAACCCTAAACTGCCCTTAACCCTCAACCTTTCAACCCTAAATCCTCCCTCAGCCTCCAAGCTCTGAAGATGAGCACGTGCAGTTGCCTCAAGTTCCTGACAGGATTGGGGGGTTGCCCAAAATTAGGTACCCTCGAAAGGGGATATAGGGGTTATGTAGGGTTATATGGGGTTATATGGGGTGTAGGGTCCCAAAATCAGGTGTACCTTCTTGGGGTCCCCCCCCATAATAAGGACCATGGTATTTTGGGGTCTATATTGGGGTCTCCCTATTTTGGCAAACTACTATTTAGGCATACAAAAGGGAGCCTTCCTAGGGATAATACAGGGGATATGGATTTTTCCAGCGCGAGCTTACGTGGGCGACGTTTCCTTCCAAGGGTTCTGCGAGGAACATAAAGGATACATGCCTGCCGTTGATTGACCAGATGCCCCTAGAATTTGGACAAGATCTCGTGGGTTTTGATCTCGCTTCCATGAGTTCATGGCCAGCCTGGCAACTCTGGAAAAGACTTGCTGCGTTCAGTACGACTCTGAATGTATGTGGTGTTGAATTCTCAGAATGGGATCGCCTATTCCAGAATGATAGTGAGCTACGCGTAGATCATACGGGGGCCCGGGGTGTGCATTAGTGTTCCTGGATACCATCAACTTGTGTCTTGACAAGGAACATTCTAGGTCATTTAAGCCAAGACTATGATGAATTTGGGACTTGCAGACAGCGTTCTCCGCTGTAGCTGTAGTTTCTGACGGGTTTTGGGGAAGGCTTCTGCTTGGAGAACCCTACAGCTGGACGGAAGCAACGGCGGCACGGGTTTGCTACGTTGAGGCTAGGCACCCGTCGAAACTCAAACAAAAGGCAGTGAGACTGGCATGAGAAGCTCTTGGCAGCCTGACTACTACGTGGCAGGTTTACGACGATCAAGCCCTGATGCCTTTGCTATGATAGCGAAAGAACAAAAACATCAGAAAAAACCATCATGCCTATTGATCTTCACCAGCCCCCAACCCTCAAAAATGCAGCAGCAAACCGAGATGCGTGCATGGACATCACGGCGACTGCGGAACCCACCACCAATTGCCACAGCCGCGCTACTGCTCTCGTAGGTGCCATCCTTCCTCGCGACAGAAGTCTTTCATACCATGAGTGTTCTTCGTATCACCATTATGGCTGCTATGGCTGCTGCTGATGCTGCTGCCGGTAAGGATGATGGCCATGCAACTTGTCACGAGGTGACAACAAATATCATTGCTGCTCCTCTGGCCACTACTCCTGCTACCTGAGACCTAAAACCAACATTAAAAAGGCAAGACAACAAAGAAGCAAGAGAAGAAGCCGAGAAAGAAGAAGAAGAAGCAGAACTAGCACAACTAAAGCAACTAAGCTGCTGCCACAACATGGACTGCAGCATCCTGCAAACTTTACACCTGCACCATCAACAGCGCCAGCATCAACACCTCCATTCCCAGCCACAATTGTTACTTAGACTTTGTGATGTTTCTTCTAGGATTCTGCGGGCCTGCGCAAGATTGACGACCGGGAAGCCTGCTCAAGGGGGCAAGACAGACACTTGCATAAACTAAATCAACACTTGTGCGAGGGCGCACAAAAGTTTTCATAACAGTCGATCACAATGGCTGAGTACTGTGGTCTTGCTTCTTCTGGTTCCCTCCATGTGTCCTTGCGCCTTGATATTTCTTAACAGTGCCGCTGCTACTCGGAACGGTTGGAATTGCTCTGTCTCAGACCTTCATACAGCAGCATCGTCTGTGCTGAAAGCACGGCCTGGTTGCGAAAGCTCTGCTGTTGACGCATAAGCCTGCCACGAGGCATTACTCTTGGGCGGAAGGGCGCATCACTACAACCTCAAGCACAGTTTCTCACAGCCCTGGCGGGCATCCTATCAAAATAGCCAGTGAATAGTTAAAGAAATCCAACGTGGTTTTCGGGTTGTCAAACTCAGAGCACCAAGAGGATGTCACCATCCAATCATAGAACGTCATAGACCTACAATATGAGGATATTTTTGGATCGCGGCATATGACGCTGTAGCAGCGCAATAGCGGTGGTAGCAGTAGTAGCAGCAGCAGCCATAGCAGTAGCAATAGCAGAGGCAGTAGCAAGAGTAGCAGTAGACGTAGCACTGGTGGTGATGCTGGTGGTGGTGGTGGTGGTGGTGGTGGTGGTGGTGGTGGTGGTGGTGCTGCTGCTGCTGCTGCTGCTGCTCGTAGTGGTGGTGTGGTGGTGTTGCTGCTGATGCTGTGGCCACCACAAATAAGATATGGTACCAGACGAGTCAATAGCACGGAACTCAAAACCATAGCATCATTTTCATGAAACATCACAGCTGGAAGCAGCATTTGTTAATGTTAGGCCTCCTTGTATCAGTAACCCTAAACTCTAAACTAAGCAGGGAGCTGCAAGGCAAAGCGCGCGAGGCCCACGACTCTGCGCCTCAGCCGGTTCATGATCACCCAGTGAATGTTTACCCTGGGGCTCTAAGTCTATAAAGAATACCCACCTTGAGCACAAAAATCTATGAATTGTACCTACCTTGGGCTATTTGGAGCCTCAGGCCTGCTCTACCCAAGCTGAACATAGAAGTCGAGAAAGGGCCCTTCTGTACAAAGGTCATTGCCCCGGACATTATGGGTTTCCATGGTGTTTGGCAGAATGTAGGATCACGTAGTGGATCTGTTTGTTGATGCGCCGCTCCCTTCTGCTACAATCCCTTCCGATGCCTATCCATGTGAGCAATAATCTTAACTCCTAATATCCCCGTTTATACCCCCTATCATACTCACTTATGTACTCCCCTCTAGCCCCCTTAACACAAGCAAGTTAAGACCCTAAACCCTAAACCCTATACAATTCCCTATTTAACCCTCGTTTAAAGAGGTTAGACTACCCAAACCCAAAAAGCATGTAAAATAATAGACCTGAACCTCATAATAACAAACATAAAAGTCATGATTGTACATACTTTCAGGGCTCAGGTATAGCTCATGTGAACATGTCTCTGCCCAAACGTGCGAAGAAAGGCTGCGGCCATAGGCAGATGAAGCTCGCGATGCTCGTGGGCCTGCTCTTGGGTTGAGGGTTTAGTGGGCTTGTTCTTGGGTTTGTGTACCAAGCAAGGGTTTAGGCTTGCTGGTGCAGGGTTTAGGGTATGTTAGGGATATAGACGGCTTTAAATTTATTGGAGCCATATAGGGATTGCGTAGGGGTTAGGGGCACGATAGCTGGACAATAGAATAATTTTATGAAGGTTATACAAGCTATAGTCTAAACTTCAAGTATCCGCCTTACTAACCCTTAAAGCAAAACAGTTGCTCTAAACATGGGATGGTCAATTCTCAGTCCAATGAGTTGGACATGTTGAGATAGCAATGCAAGAGCCATGGGCCTAACCACCAAAGCAGCCATCTACCGATGTGAACCTACAACCTCAATATAACCCCTATAAACCCTAAAACCCCTATAAACTGCCCTATAATCCCAGTTTCCAATTTAATTGTCCATGTTCTTTTCCCTTTGATCCTCCATGATTGGGTAAGCCAAGCTCCTTCCAGGTGCAGCCGTAAGCCTTCTCCCTATAGTAGTTTCCATTTTCCTTTCCATTATCCCTATATAACCCTAATATACTATATAGTAGTTTCCGTTGTGAACTTACAACCTCAAGCTCTTGCCAGGCAAAGCCATAAGCCGCTGCAGCTATCGCTTGCCTGCATCTTTGCTCTGCTCCTGCTGAGCATTTCACATATAGGGATACTGGAAAATAACATGGAAACCACTATAGGGTTTAGGGTTTGAGGGGGATCAAGGTTTAGGGTCATAGGGTTATATAGGGAGAATGAAAAATAGAATGGGAAACACGCCGCACAACCAATAGTTTGCCATGAGTTCAGCACGTGGCTGTTTTGAAGGAGGGCTGCTTGGCATGTCACATGTTGAGTCCAGCTACGCCCAGTCCAAAAAGATTTGCCACCGAGATATTGCAAGGACATACCTGCCCAAGACCAGCAACCCCAGCTGGTCCAAACCTTTTAGAATCCTGCGGCACACACAGTCCCTAAACCCTAAACCCTAAAAACCCTATCCCACAAGGATCACAGCTATACGCTGAAGCGAAGCAACTCTGCACATCCCCTCCTCCATCGCTTGGACGGCCTTCTGCTCTGCTTCCACTTCCTGACATGCTAGTACTATAGTCCCCCTTAAGAGGATAGAACATGGGGAGTATATGGGAATCTTATTATAAGATACCCAAA